GTGACAAGCCAATCCCTTCAAACATCCCATGGGTCCAGCTGCTCATCTTCGAGTCATCCACCATTAGACTCCGCAACCTCCACATCTTCAGTATGTTCAGAACAAATGTTGACTTGATCAAAGAGAAATCCATCTCTCATCCATGCCAGTCCTCGTTGTAGTGAGCATATCCACATTTGTCCTCCCGGACTCCGCGGACGAGCCGGAACACGCGGACGAGCCGGAGCACTTCATGGCTCCGGACGTAGCCTCCCCTCTTCCGTGAAAGACCCAACGAATCGTGCATCCTGTGCTCCGAAACACGCGAAAGGTCGCGTGCGTGTACAAGAAGAAAGCCCCGGCTAAAAAAAAGGCACATCCCCGGATATCAGGCACATCATCCTCACTGTGCGTCAAAAAGGTTCCCCTCATCCTCATCTCTCATCCCCCTCCTGGTATCTGCAATATCCTCTCAAAAAGTGCTTGCAGAACCTCCGCGCTGGACGGAAACGCGCAAACATAAGTAATCGTCGTTGGCCGAGTTCGACTTGCGACGAGTTTGGAGAATCCAGTGGAATCCGGCTGAAAAAGGTTATTCAAGGAACTCAGGGTTGAAGTTTGACCCTGCACTTTTGGAACTATAACAATCCATTGAACAAAAGGTTAAAAAATCGACCCCAAGCCAACAGAGGGTCGTAGGATCAAAACAGGGAGCATGGGTTCCAAGGTGCCGCAGGGTATGTATAGATCGAAGGCGAGGCACGGTCCAAGATGGATTTGAGGGGCTGCCTGGTGGCCCGAGAAAAGAAGGTCTGAAGCTGTGGATATTGAGTGTTTGACATGATATACTTGAATACTCAGATTGGCCCAATACTGTATAAATCAACTGCTTGAACTCATATTGAGTCCTTTAACTTTAACACTCCTTCCGCGCTCAACCACCCGTTCCACCCTGCTACCACATTGCCAGCCCAAAGATCCTTCAATCTCCGCAATCCTGCAATGTGCAATGAAAAACGTTTTACAGATCGTCCCCGGTCCAAAACAAAAAGAGACATGAGCATGACCTGGTGTCGCCTCTTCATGCGATCCAGTTTGGGTCGCAGGGGTGTACGGATCCGCCTGGTCTTGACCAACTGTTTGGCCATGCGCTTGCTGGGCGCCGGCGGAGTTGGCGCACCTGGGTTGCTGTGCCAAAGCTGATGCAGCAAGATGTCAAGCAGCTTGTGCCATACACTAGTTGCAAAGTTTCTGGGATGAAGTGCAATGTCTTTCTTCTGGGCTATGCAGTGCATACTATGTAGCCGGGAGGTGGTTGTTCCCCAAGGAGGCCTACACCTCCTGCCTCTTCGACGTGGGTAAGTCTGAACCACGGTCCCACCGGTCGACCCTCCAAGGACCGACCGAAGTTTGGACGAAACTGTTGGTCAGAACCTGGATCTCCAAAACCCTGCAGGTGTCCCTGCGGTTTTTTGGTAGGTCAGAACTTTGTGTCGGGGTGAACCAAGTGGTCAGAACCTGGATCTTCGCATTGTGAGAAACGTGAGCTTCTCATTCTGAGAAACGGGGAAGGGATGCTTAAACAGGTGGGTTGACCGTCCATTCTGTTCATTTTGATGGGTCAGCCAAGGTTTCCTGGATTTGAACAATAGCTAAGAGCTATATCAGTGTGGGGCGGCGACGTGTTGCTCTTGGGCCAATTCAATTCCACCCGGTTTTGGGCAAACCACTCAGTTCCACCAACTTGTGTGGTGTGGTACGTGGAACTCTGCCCACCACAGATTCCAAAAAGTACGCCTTTGCACCAATCATGTCAAGGAGAAGGCCTCTGAGGTCTCTCACGCTGAAATTGGGGTGGTCTTTCCATCCAGCACATGCCGCCCAGCATCTGGGGTCCTCAGAAGTTCCCCTCTCGAACTACTCAGTGTTCCCCACTTCTTCAAACCCATGCTCTGCGATGAAATCCGCATCGCCCAAAGCAAGTCGGCCTGTACCATGGTCTTCTTCCAGCGAGTTTCCCTGCAGGGGCTTCCGTCGGTCATTTCCGAGAACACGGGTACCTCCGGAGAACGAGGTTCCCCAGTTCCCCCTTGCCACCACCAAATCTGTGGGCACTTTAGATAACAGCAGAAAGAACTCAGTGCTTTGGGCTCGACGGACAAGAAAGAGGCTGGTCAATCACGACAAGTCCTACAAGGGACTTCCAAGAGCGTCCCGAACGGCAATCGTCAGGATGCGTCGGGGACCAACGTCCCGCAGATGGCAGATGCGTCCGTTGCCCAGTTTTTTCATGTGCGAGCGTAGGGGGTCTACGAATGCCACTGAATCTTATGTTTGAAGATCCTGGAGGCCCTTCAAAGGTCTGGAGGACCTCAACCATAAAGGGATCGGGAATGAGACGTAGATGCTCAACGCGTTGGAACCTTTCTTTGAAGAGTGCTACACAGCAAAACCCTAAACATCAGGTGCTCGGCAGGGAGGCTCTTCCAAGAGCGTCCCTTCCGTCGGGCGCTGGGCGTCGGGCGCCCCATCCCTCTTCGTCCAGCGTCCAACTAGGCACCCACACACCCCATGGCTCCTGCTCACCGCTCCCCTCGCGGCAGGGGCTCGGTTTTCTACATGGCGTCCAAAGGCTGGTCAATTCATCCAGAAAAAGGATCAGAAATCATGGAATGGTCCTTATTGTAGACTCAGATCCGGTTCGTTTCTGATCCACTACACTTCACTACACTCCCAGCAGAGAGAATCACAGTAGACTCAGTAGACATGGTGGAATCAGACGAATCCATGCCTTTTACATGGTAGAAACATGTCAAAGCCCTCATCTCCAACAGGGTCCCACCCTCCAGCTCTCACATGAAACTCCATCCAACCTCATGTCGCCCCTTCCAGCCCCACAGTGGGGAGCTTCGCTTCCCTCCCTCCCCTCCTGCATGTCAGGTGGACCATCGCCACTCCTTCAAAGCCTGGCGCACGGAAGCCCCCAACAGAAAGAGCATCCAAAAAACATCAAAAAACCTCCCAGCGCATCTTCACCACATCAACTCACCCCCCCTTCCCTCACACCCCACGCATGCCCTTCACATCAGCGCACCCTTCCCTTCCACATGACCTGAGTCATGAGGGCCAAGTGCCGCGAGGAAACGCCCCTCGCGGCCGCCGCGGTCGCCGCGGGGCCTTCCGTCGCACCGAACCGCCAGCGCCGGCGCCCTCGAACCCGGCGGCCGCGCGGCGGTCGTCGCAGCGGTTAGCAGGGGTCCGACCGCTGCGATTGACGACTGGTCGGTGCAGGGGCCAAAGGGGAAAAAGGGCCTAAGAGGTGCAAAAGCTCTGCGGCTCTGCGTTCGCTGCTTTCCGCGAAGCGAAGTATGCTGAGCGTCCAGCAAGTGGGACCCACATGCACCAAATGCATCCAAATGCACCGTAAAGTTGCTCCGGAAAGTGAAGCGTCACACCATGTCACACCGCCTGGTCTTCTGAACCTCTGTAGATCCTGGTTGGCGCCACCCTGTCCAGTGTCTTGAATCTCGTGGTTGATCACAGTAACCCAAACATGACTCGACCAACTATAACTATTCGCACCCCAGATGACAACACATGGAATAGGAAAAGATCACCGTGGAAGACCAAGTGTCAAACAGGGACATCAGCTATTATGGAGATAGACTGGGTGCACGATTCACTCAAGAATTTTCGACCAAGCTCAAAGCATTCCTTTCGTCCTCCACTCTCAGAAGAAGAAGCCCACGATCTTGCCACCCACGTGCTT